ATCAGCATAATGGAAGACCACGAAGCACAAGCCCGAAGAATAAGCCCCAAGTTCGTGAAAGAAGATAGGAACTTAAGGCAAGCCATATCGTATCGCCTCTCGCTATTGGGTATATCGTGAGGTGTTTTGTTATTGTTTTGATCTTGGTGGTTGGTGGTTGTCTGTCCTGTGAAGTCAGTTGTGCTTCTTGTTTTCCCTTTTTTTATATCATATGAGAGTAGTAAGGCAAGATACAGGTGAGGAAGAAAACATGCCCATGGCATTTTTCTTGATTTTTTTTTTTTTTTTTTTTGACACGTGATGATGTAGATTGAAGGTATGAGTCAACGCTATCTCAATTGCTTGGCCAATTCAACATAACATTCTGGAGTCCCAGGAATAAATTCAGGTCGTAATCCAAAACACTAGGCTTTTCTAAAAGAGAAGAGGTCAAAGAAGTAAATTCTTTTCTTTTCTTGGTAAAAGAGGCCTTGTTTTCGGACCTCAAAGTGGTTGGGGTTAAGGTAAATCATCATCACAAGATCAGTATCATATGATTCACCATCAAATAGTCTTTGTCCGGGAGATATTTCAATCTGCATCACCAATTTCCGCAGATTTAAAGTAATATTCAAATGCCTTCTGTTTTGTTTTTTTTTTTTTTCATTCTTTTCGACTCTAATTCCTTAATTATAACAACATCCAACATTGTATATTTCACTAGCGTGTCCCATCTCTGCAACTTTCTGAAAATATTCGAATATCTTTTGTTTATTCTTTCCGACACCAATTCCTTCGGCATAACAACGTCCAACACTATAATATTCCATAGCGTGTCCTATCTCTGCAGATTTTTGAAAATATTCGAATGTTTGTTTATTCTTTTCAACACCAATTCCATTATGATAAAAATATTCAACAAAATCATCGTATGTTATATCAAGACATATACCCCTGCCGATTTATAATACAGTAAATGAATGTCTTATATTCATGTTTTCAATTATTCTCTCTCGGATTTCATATTAAACACTCTCTTTATTAGAGATTATAAAGATACATAATGGGTATAAGGCACCATAGGTAAACAGGATGGACGGGTGGGCTTTCATAATTTACGCTGTTATGCATCTTGTAATCTTTGTTGCATGTATCTCTATCGCATGTAATCCACTACACATCATTTGTAAATTTTTTTTTTTTTTTACAAGCATTAGGTGAGCGTCATGGAGCAAGTTACTGAGCAAGGCCACCCACAAGTTAGCAAGCACGTCCACGAGCATCTCAATTCTCAATCTCATATTTCCTTTCTCTCTTTTCTCATTGACACATTATTATCACTTCACATCAAATGAACGTCGTGGAACAAATCGCTGAGCCAGATCACCCACAAGTCACAAGCAAGTCCCAATTCTCAAACTCATATTTTCTTTCTCTCTTTTCTCATTGACTCATTATTATCACTTCACATCAAATGAGCATCGTGGAGCAAGTCGCTGAGCCAGATCACCCACAAGTCAGCAAGTCCCGAGCACCCAATTCTCAATCTCATTTTTTCTTTTCTCCTTTACCACTTAACATCAAATGAGCAGCGTAGAGCAAGTGGATGAGCAAGATTACCGCAAGTCAACATGCAAGTCTCGAGCATCTCCATTCTCAATCTCATCTTTCATTTTCCATTTTCATTCATTCGTTTTTTTTTTTTTTTTCGTTTTTATCAACTGACATCAGATCAGCGGCCACTGAGCAAGACTATCCACAAGCAAGCAACATATTTTCTTTCTCTCTTTTCTTTTTCCTGAGGTTCAAGTTTATATTGTTATAGTTGCTTTCAAAAATGTGTGAATATATATGATTATAT